GTCAATTGTGCTCATGTACATGTACCTTACCTAGTTGATTTCCTTTGGCATAACCTACTTATATTAACAACGGATAGCCACATTTATTTATATTTAAATATTCTAATTTATACAAATATTCGTGAATAATTACATATTCAGTTTCATAAATATTTAATTTTTTTAAAAATATTCATCTTGACCTCATCGTGACCTCTCCATAATTTAACCGTAACTTTATATGGAACATATCGACTTCCTCCGGCAACAAGCGCTCGTGTGGCGTGGTCAGTTAGACTGCTGTATTTCTATACCTAACAGTTCTCTTCATTGCAGGTTTGATTCCCCTTTATGACTCAATTTGGATTAAATGTATTAAATGTATAATCCTTGTACTAATGACAGGAAAACTGTGGAGAAATAAAAGGACGGGATAGTGAAGGAAAAAGGAAACGGTAGAGGATATAGTAGGGGAAAAAAGAACGGCAAAAGGACTCACTTTTTTGCCGTTTTATTGCGTGGGGCCCCTTCTTTTTAAACCTGTCCCCCTAAGTTACTGAACCCCCTTTCACATCTCTATCCCCCAAAAATAAATGTCGCCCATTTTTAAATCCAAAAATTTCTCCTAAAAAGTGAACTTCGTAAATGGAATTCTTTCCGACTTCTTGACAAGTCATTAGAAATAAGCTAATTGAGGAATGTTATGTATGAGTGGTACATGGTAGAAAGTCCTCCTGAATTCTCCCCTAAAAGCACAAGGGAGATTAACAATATTATTGGAGGCAGTAGCTGGGTGTGGAACTGTTTGTCTTACCCACATGCTAATTTAAAAGGTACATGTACACAGCCTAAAATCATTTATACAAAAATATAATTCTTAATGAAGTCTTCAAGTTCAATTTAACACGGTAAAGAATGAAATCATAATGAATGTAAATTGTTAACAGGAAATACTGCAACGCACAAGTACGGGCAGGATTAGACCTGTAAACAGGGCACATTGTGTACATGTACTCCTCAATTCCTCCATCATGCCAATGATAACAGCATCGACGGAGTAAAAGTAGGGCCCTGTATTTTTCAAATATTTTTTTCTCTTTCTTTTTGACTTGATCTTGGTGAGGATGTCATAGGAAACATTTTGATATGAGTTTGGATTTCATCAGACTCTGCAAAGCAAAGAAATATTGATTTTAAGCAGGGATATTTTGAGATGTTTGAAATGTTTATTAAATGTGTGTAATGCAGGAAAAATGGGTCTGGATTTTGACTGAAAAGCCTAAAAATTCACATTTTCATAAAATGTTTGTTCTTATTCGTGCTGTATTTCAATGAATTAAATGTTCCGCTTGCAATTCCACAAAATTTGAAAACGGAAATTAAATAGAGGAGCTAGAGCCTGCGGAAAAAGACAAATTTTAATCACAATTTCCTTTTGAAGAAATGAGTTCCCAAATACACAGCACCCTCTGGCATGATTAGTCGCTGTTCAGCAATTATCACAATATCAGGCACTACACACAGGCCCACTGCCACCAAAACACACAGCTCAACCAGGACTTTTGGTTTGTGATAACTTGGGCTGGTGTGCGCATTTCAATTTGAAACGGGAAATAAAAACGAGCAGCCGTCAACCATCCGCATGTCATGAGTCATGTCTAAGGCCTTGGGCCTATGCAAGAAGTACCATGGCCATGTCTACAAAGTACAACCATGGAGCATGTTTTCGTTCCTCCATGCAAGGATGGAAGGACCTTCCTCCATGGTACAACCAGACAACACGTTAAGGAACAGCCTATAACGGCGGTGTGTTATTCATGGAATTTCGCATAACGCTAGACATGACCTAGAGGAAAGAATATCTTATAAATCATACGTACTTTTCTTTGTAACTTCCATGATTACTGCCAGGTATCATCTACTAAGGTAGAGAGTCCTCATCCAGGTCACGCAGGTCTTTGGTTACTCATTTGAAGACAGGAATTCCCCGCGCGTAATGAAATCCACTCGCCAATTGCAATTAGTGTCCGATTGTGAATGGACTACCCAAATAAGAATGAGGAGGAAAATACGATACAACCTAGCCTGGAAGACGTAAATTGCCACTGAGCAGCTTATTGAAATGTACTAAATAGTACATGTACAGTTTTGTGTCAATTTTCGTTCTTCGACCACGTCCGAATTACTTGGCTATGGCTTGAAATTACACACGACTCTATGGGAAGTCAGTGGCTTTGGTCTTGCGTAATTTCAGGCCACAGCCAAGTAATTCGGACACGGACTAATTATTTACTCAATTATTGTAAGCCAGTCAACTCAGTAAATGACTAATATGGTCCATGTAGTTCTTACGCAGGGCAGAAGTTGTACAGATTGTACAGATTTGGTTATTGGTCCTTATTATACGAAATAAACAAATTTAATAATTTCGGGAAAAAAGAGAAAAGGCTCAAGATATTTTCTGTCAAAAATATATCAGTTTCTTTTGTACAAGTACATAAAAATACTTGCACTCATTTCCGATTTTCGTATTTAGAGAACCCTCCTGATTGTCTACATTTTCTTTGCAATTCCCCTCCAAAGACTCGGGGACGGTTACTACACTTGAAAAATCATCTTCTCAAGTAATTAATCTCTTTTATTCAAATGCGGCTGTTGTCATCGCTTCATTAAACTTGGAAAGAAAACAGTATCATACTTTCGTCAGAAGGTCTTATGCACTGGGACCAGCTGAGGTATATATTTGTTTGATAAGTGATTACGAATTTTGAACGCAACATTAATTAACCGGCGAGCCTTTGCAGTGTGGCTTATCCAGCGGATTGGACGGGCAATTCCCCCCACGGATTTTTGAGTGAGACTTTTGATATTTTTTCTCCCCCAACATTACGTTGAATGGGCACGAAGCCGCATTTGAATTTGCCCCGACACCAAAAGCTGGATATACCGCTAAGCTGAAGGGAACTTAATCAGGGGGGTGAAAATATCTCTCTTTGATGATGTCAGTCAGACAACAAGATGTGAAGGAAATAGGCCTAAAAGAACGTAAATAAAAGGACAAAACCTCCAAAAGTTTTGTGCTGTGGGTTATATGCCTACAATCGTCTCCTATATCTCCACAAAAATATCTTTTTTAAACATCGGTTGTTTTTTTTTTTTTACATTTGGCCTACCGCGTAATCAAATCAGTTGCATCAGGTGCTGCCAAACGGCTTTGTGAGCGGAGGTTTTATCGGGTAACGAGAAAGTCGTGACAGACTGTTTTAGAATTTCTTCCGTTCGTGAATGGGATCGTTTCTGCTTCGTGGGTAAATGGTTCCCGCACGTTTACACCATTGAATCACGTAACTACTGTACAAAGGACGCACACCAATTGAACTCGGCCCAGTCGCCGATTGACGTCGTTAAACTTGTACGGTTTCTACCATGGAGGTTGTACAGTGATAAACAAACACATTTTCCCTCTAACAATGTTTAGAATTTAACTTTTTAATCACTGCATCAGGTAAGCTACCCTTTAAAGGAAATGTTTCTGTATTATTCTTCAGCATTATATTCGCCTTGATCAGATTGTTGAGCTGAGTTCAGTCCGTGTACAATGTTACATGCGTATTGACAATGCCGGCGTAGGGCATAGGGATTTTGTATTTCACTTGGGCTCTGCTGTTCAGGAGGAGGCCTACATGTACATGATCATAGTAAATAGCACCTGAACCTGAGTGCCAAACGTTACATGTACATTTTAACTTTTGGATTATGAGACTAGTATCACTATGATGTCATGTTCAATAACTGTCACGACTGTAGGGTTGATTTTGTGAAAAGAGAGCAGGGTTTTGAGGTAAATTATGAGGGGATCTGTGAGTGTTTTTGGAGGCTCGAAAGTAAAGTTTTTTCTAGCCTAGGGCCTATTTGTTTCTATTTTCTTTTTGAAGTAATCTGTTTAGAGGATGTCATAAGAAAAATTTTGACCTAAGATTAGATTCCATCGGAGTCTAAAACAGGGATATTTTGAGATATTCTGGGATTTTTTTGTACACTGTACATGTGTAATGCAGAGCAAACTGGGTTTTCTTTGTACACAAAAATCACAGTGACTTCTGACTAAAATGCTTAAAGTTCATACTTTCATTAATTAGTTGTTCTTATTCGCTCCTTACTTCAATGAATCAAAAACTGGCTTCACAGGACTTTTCAGAACTTTTGAAATCGAAATTGGAACTTAATATAGGAGCTAGAGCGTGTGAAAAAAATCCCAAATGAACAGCGCCCTCACACATTTATGCATGTCCGTAAGTTATGGTGTATCTAGACTAGTACTTCATTGATACTGGGCCATGGCAGGAAGGCTTTCAAATTGTTTAAAAGTTTTATCTGGAGACATCTATTACATTTCATTTTACAAGCTGAAATTGCACCGGTATATTCACTATTTATGTGACCAACTATCCTCAGGTTGTTATTGGCTGGAAACTTGCATTTCCCCCCATTTTGCAGAAAAATGTTGCCTCCATAAGTTGTATGTTCTCCCCACTTAGACGAATGTTGGTTCGACTTGCACATTACACAGACTCCTTTGTATGGTTAAGTAATGGTAGCTTTGATAGAGAGCCTGTCTGGTAGTTTACACCCAGACTTCAACACGTAAAAATCTCATTCAGATCCTCAAGAGTACCTGTCGGTCCAAGTATTCAGTGAAAAACTAATGGCTGTTTCATGTCACATGTGTCAAGGAAGCTGTACTGTTTACAAAGCGGTTCATGCAGCGTGTACATGCAACTGTTCCCACTTGATTTCTTCCTGTGGCTGTATAGAAATCTTCTGCGATTACTTTCCTTTTACTCCTCCTGTTTGGTTGTTTTATGTGACAGTCACAATAAGTTGACAGGGATGTCATGTTGACACGACAACAGTGCTCCTATTGGATTTAATTTGTCATTACACAGCAACAATAAATGTGGTAATTTAACCAAACAGAAAGACAAATGGAATCAAAGTCATCAATGTGGATATTTTGTTTCAACAGAACCTGCCTGAATTCATAAACAGTATGCCTTGTGCCAAGGCCATGGATACATCAGAAGTAGGCAGTGAAATTCATCATCAACATGAAAACCACATTGATCACAACAAACTCTTGACAGTACCAACGTCATCGGGCCCTTCAGAGCCGTTGTCACCGATGTCTGAGTCAACATTCACTTGTGGCTGTTGCTATGAAATCATGGTCCAGCCCACCACCTTGAACTGTGGGCACAGCTTCTGTCGACTGTGTCTGGCACGATGGTGGAAAACACAGAAACGGACGACATGTCCCGAATGTAGGTACCCCTGGACTGGCTTCCCACATGTGAACATTATCCTGAGGTGAGTAAGCCATATACTGCTTGACCTACCTGTGCACAAACTGAGGATGATTACTGGAAGTTTGCATTTAATAGAAGAATTCAGCTGAATGTTGGCAGACTACAAGAATAGTACTGATGTTTCCTTGATCTAACAGTAATGTTTCATTCCAACAGATTGGAGATTTTCTAGGTAATGTGGAGGCTTGAGGGAAATGGTCCCACACTGGAGCATCCAGCACTCTTAGGCTGTTCCACAAATAGACACTGGATAACTCCAACTAGACTAGGCCACTAGTGATTCTCTTAGAAATGTAACTTAATGATGCAATGTATGCTGCTTCTCAATAAATGATGGTGATTGTAGGACTTTATTTGCAGAAATTCGAACTTCAATGTTGAATATTTGGAAGTTAAAATCATTGAAATGGTCCTAGAAAACTTCAATAATCTCATTCTGATTAAAAAATTAGCAATCTGAAAACCTATTTGAAGGAGATATGAGTATTGAAACTTAAAGCAGCTGATATGTCCAACAATAAGGCCAAAAAAATACTCTTTATCTTTTTCTGTTTTGACTCCTTTTTGTGGTGTGCAATCTTACTGTGACGAAATCATCAATAAACATCAGTTGAAGTCCGAGCCTCTGCAACTAGGGATGGAACGCTTCTCTTCAAACTCAACAAAATGACCATGCATTCATATTATTTTTCTGCTTTTGTGGGAATTTGATACAACCAAATATTCTAACATTCGATCAAATAGGATCAACTATTCTAATTAACTTGGCCTCATGCTCTGCGTGATTGTTTAATTTCAGGAAGACTATGGAGAAACTGTGCCCCGTCATCTTAGAGGAACGAAGTAAAGCTGTAATGACATCAACTAGCACTGAAATCTTGGCAGAGTTTGAGCAGTTTGGTCAACAGCTAGAGAAGACACAGGCCAAAGGAAAAGGGGCAAGCAATAGAACACCGCGAGGGTTTGTCTGGGGTGTGCTGACGACGCTAGGAGTCGTGTTTGTGAGTACACAGATTGAGACTATGGTCATGACACTATAAGCAACCAGCTTCTACAGAAACGGTCATATTCCATGGCCAGTTCTTATGTTTATCTACCTCAGTGCAAAATGAATGAATCTACAAACCTTCCTTCAAACATGCATGAATGTTAACTTTGTGAAGGTTAAACGTAGTGGATATTTAAAAGATGTAAATACTCAGAAAACACCAAGTTTCAATATCTGACTTTTCCTTCTGCCAGTATAAGTGGGTAACATGTCAAAACCAACAGCCTCCTGCTTACCCCTGCAGATGTTGCATAGTGCACTAGTACATTGAAATCTGTTTCTTACAATTTTAAAGTAGGCTGGCGACATATGCCTCTGTGACATTGTAAACTTCAAAATGAGCAGTGGAAACCAGTCCAGAGACATTTGAACTCTTTGAGTATTCTTAATTACTGTCACCTCATAAAGGATCAGCAAACACTTGCATACAATCCTACAGAGACATTTTCAGTTAGCACATTAAGTGTAATGAGTTTGTTAACTTGATATACTTAGGTAATTCAGTTGATTCTCAACTGGGGAAGCAGCGACAACAATATGTTGGTGTATAAACCGCTGAGAACGTGGAAATCGGAGGATGTATCACAGTGGCTACAGGAACTTGGAAGCTGGGCAGGAAACCAGTATAGTCAACAATTCTTGGAACAAAGTATCAGTGAGTAGCAAGGAGCATGAACAGAAGTCAAATGAGTACCACTTTCAGGTCTTTGCTTGTTTGCAACCAACCCCTTGAATTCACCAAAGTCCAATACTGTGAATGGAGGTGTAAGACTTGCTTTCGTAAGATCTCTATCCTTTTTTCATTTCACAGAATCTATCCATATTGACCTTTCTTTTGTTTACAAGCATTGCTAGCCATATTGTATGGCTTGCCAAAGTTTACCAATAATTCAGTCTTTGTTGGTAACATTGTTTGCCTCAAATTCACATTTTGCTTCAAACCTGTATGTAATACAGTAGGAGGCAACTTGTTTTATTATTTTTGTGTTTAATATTTGGGTGAGTTTTATTTATCTCTTGGTTTTATACTTATGGCCAGCTGTAGATTTGTGCTTGTGATGTTGGCAAAAGAAAGGACTGTTGTGTATAGATTGGTCCAATTCATTGCTATCAGGACCATCTGTAGACCATTCACCAGTCTAGTCACAAGACCAGTTACAAGTAACAGGACGAACAATGCAAGAGACGGTTTTGTTGTAGTTCGTTTGAGTAGTTAATGACTTGAATTCAGATGGTGGGTCTCATGTGAGGGTCTGACGGGGTCGTGACTGCAATACTGGCTAGATTTCCGTCTTCCTCGTCCCAGCTCATTACATCCTTGTGCACTGTAACCAAATGTTGTGTTTGTGTGTTGACATGTGAACAGGCTTGAGATATAACTCCTGAAGTCAAGTCAAGGTTCCTGGGGTCTGCTTTTAAGAGTCCAGCAAACTACTGCTGAAGCAGGTGTTGGATTTTGGTGAATTAAGGAGTATAATACAACACCTGAATGAATCCTTGTTATCTAATGAATGAGTCGTTAATAATGTGTTGTCATGTGTTTTGGTCCATCGAATGATACCTGTTCAATAGAATGTTAGGCATGGTTGCCATTATTGGTACATCTGTAGCATGGCTCTACAAACAAAATTATACTTCCTCTAGCAGATGAAGAAATTTCTGAACTTGTCAGTGATATCGATGTTCTAATACAAAGAAACAAATTAACTATGTTGTCAAACAATTAGAGAATGTCCTAAGCTTGAACTGATTTCGAACGAGACAACTTCTTGTTACTATTGGACACTGAATTAAGAGAGAAAATGTCCACCTGCATAGAAGGAGGGTTTATACAGGTGTTGTATGAAATAATGAATGGTTCACATTCAGTGCAGTGGAAGGAATCATTTCATTCGGTGACAGTGGTTTGGAATTGTAGAATAAAATGTTTCATGTAGTTGTCACCTCGGGAAATTATTGTTACCAGTGCACTGATGAACGTTCATTATTTGCATGAGCTTGCATGGTTGATTTTTATAGGTGGCAAGCAGTGCATGTTGGCCCAGCAATGCTTTCATTGAAGTTACTGCCGGGTCTAGGGTTGGAATCTTCCTAGCAGGCATGTAGGTTGTCTTTGCAGGCAGACAGGTGACGCCCGATCCAACCAGATTAGTTTAGAGTAGTCATAAATCTTGTCCTGAACCCATTTCTTAAACAGCACTTTGTTACTGTCATCTCTTAACAGGTGCATGGGACAAGTACAGGTGTTACTGATCTGCTGAGTTACATGTACATGTATGCTGCGGTGTCTACACACTTTGGAGGATTCCTTGGTTTCTTTGTAGGAAATTTACCCTACCACCCTAGGACAGTAGTATATAGCTATGCCCCACTGGAGGACTGCAAGTTGTTAAGGTTAGATGAACGCCACCTGCCTACAACATACTAATTTTTTGTTCCATCAGATGGTAACTTGCTGATGGGATTAACGGAGGAATCACAGCTGAAGGAGGAACCCTTTAACATCAAAAATGTCTTGCACAGACGGGCGATACTAGCAGCATTAGAGAGGGTGAAAGAACAGGGTGCTAAACCACCGAGAGATCTGTGGGAATATAAGGTAACCAATCGGATCTGTTTTGGCAGGTACTAAATAAGAGACATCTAAACAGAAGGTGATAGTAACAAGGTAGGTTTGTTACCTGGATGACTCCACACATTTAGTGCTAAGGTGATGATAGCAGATGTCTATTGCCATGGTAACCTCATGCAGCTAATGTAGAAGTAACAGCAGAGGACTGGTTTCAAAGTAACTGCACTCAACTATTGCTAAATCCATCATCCAGGTAACTGCAGCCTTTTCAGTACAAGGCAGCAGATAAAAAAATATTGCCAAGTTAGTTGCACACGTTCTTGTCAAGGTAATAGAAGGGGCGGGTTGGCAAGGTAACTGTTTTGTTTCTGTCAATATTAATGATGTAACAACACAAATGATTGCCACCGTGCACAAGATCTATACACTATGATCAGACTAGAACCTGTAAAAATATATGCCTGCCCCGTATGACCAGAGCTACATGTAGGGGTAGACATCCAAAGTTATGAACACCCACACACGCACACTTTGATGGGAGGAGCACTTTTGTTTTGAAAATGAGGAAGCACAGCCATTACATTGATCGTTAGCACTTTGCTCTCCTGTGGCGTGACTTCTGCACAGACTTTTTCTAAAAAAAAAACCCACAGGTAGAGTAAATTGGGAATGTAAGAGCGGTCTGACTAAACAAGAACTGAGTGTTTTCTGAACATGAAATGAAGAAGCGATGACCAGTGCATTGAGCATTCACAACTTGTCTTTCTCTAGTCCTTGCATCGAGGTCTAGCCACCTTCCTCCTGTACGTTGTCAAAGAGTTCCCTCGCATCACCATATCATCTATGTACATCTTCTACTACGAGGATGTCTTCTTACCATTTATGCACATCACTTGCCCTGGGAGCCAAACTGTAGATGTTGTGGAAGGTTTGGAGTTGCCTAGGAAGTATGTAAGTTAGTCTTTGCATGAACTTGTTTCATTTCCCAAGATTTCACAAGACTAGAAATACAGTGAGATTTGAAAAACGGTAAAACGACAAAAACCTGAGCGCTCGCATATGATCCAACATGGGAAACAAGTTCTCTGTTAATGTGTTCTCTTAGCTGAGTGGCCAGATGGTTCTAGTTTATCTGTAAATTCCAGGTTTCTTTTGTACATATTTGGTTCAGTTTGAAGCTTTGCACTTGAGACATAAGAAGAAATCTTGCAGATAGCATCATGTGAAAAGACAATCCCTGCTCAAAATGTCCAGAGGAGATTCTGCTTATTACTGTTCTATAGAACAAATCTTGAATGTTATGCTTCTATATTGGCTGTTGCACCTAAGCTATATCAAATATAAACTAACTGTTGTACCTCCAAGTTCCAACGCGTTGAGTTGTTGAGTGCTTGAGACATTAGCACCTGTGAGTAGGAGGTTGTGGGTTTGTAACCTGCCTGAGAACATGAAAAAAGTTACTCACGTTTTCCCACAAGCTTTTAGAACGCTTAGAGCAGACGGTACTTTTAGAAACCATATAAAAAATTGAAAGCAAAACATCAAACTTGCTACTTTAAGCGTTAGCAACTGTGCTGGTTTTTTGCTGTTACTAAGCTATGCTTAAGTAAGTCATTGCTTTATTGGGCAAACTGTTCCACACAGAATCGGAGCATTGAATGGGATCAGTGGGCAGAGTTTATTCCAAAGTTTGTCTTCTTGCCCTACTACTTGATTGCTGAGCTCTCCTGGGCATGGATTGACGTCAACTTTATGCCTGTGATCTTCATACTGGCCAACTGTGTGTTCCTGACAATGATCGAAGCCAAGACCGTTAGGATGATCTTCAAACATGGACTGAAGTAAGATTACAGTCAATTTGTAACATTTCTTAACTAAGGAGTTTGAGGACTGCCAAACAACCTTGGTTATAGAAACCGGTGGCTGGGAATTGTAGAAATCAATTCCCAGGCTGGAGAAATGTAGTAATTAACATTAGAAACATGAATACTTGTATGTAAGAGACTTTAAGGCAATTCTACGTAATAGCCACACTGTTACCGACCTCATTATCAAAGGTAATTCTTCAACAAAAAAAGGTTGGCGGGGTGGAAATAGTGGCACCATTTTCATTTCTTTTGAATTCTTTTGTTTTCTGGAGTACACTTAATGAGGTTGGTAATGGTATAACCAAATTTCTACTGTCTCCTAGAATTGTCATAATGTTGCACCAAAATACGGCCTTGGTTAAAGAAATATTGACCTCAGTGTAAGAAATGTTTTGCTCTTTGTTAAAAACAAAGTTGACCTAATAAGTTTGAGAAACTTTCATCTTGATAAGGGAAGCCATGGGCTTAAAGAAACTTTGGCCTTGATTAAAGATACATGTGACTTGACAAACTGAAAGTCAACCAAAAAGGAAATTTTGTAGAAGGAGAGTTTCATTCTGGCCTTGATTAAACTTACATGTACAGTGTACATAGCTTTGTTTCATAGACAAATTTTCCATGTAGACTTGAAACATGTCTTCACACTTTTCTCATTGAAAGGAATGTTGAGTTTGTCCCTTAAACCAATGGTCCATTAAAATCATGCAAACATAGAAGAAGAAAGTCTGTGCATTTTGTGTGTGATCCCTGCTTTGGAAATGCATTTATGTGATAGGTTTTACTGCTTTATGCGTCACAATAAGCCAATTGCGAGTTAAATTTGAATAGAATCTGGTACACTGAGTTACGAGATTGCACATAAACATAACGATTTGAATTCCCCAGACTAAAGACTCTGTTGCAATACTTCATAATTCAGGGCAAGTTTTTGCATAGCGTCCTCCATCTCTGGAATGGACTGGTGCCCTTCTTATCCATTGAGAACAGTGTATTGTTGCAAGGCATCTCTTATGTACATGTAACTCACGAGGTATAACAGCAGTGGTTTTAGTATGGAGAATTCAAATTGTTATGTTCATGTGAGTTTAAAGAACTCAGTGTGCCAGATTCTGTTACAATATAACTCACAAAAGGCTTGTAAACTAGTGATACGTTTTCTTTTTGTTTTTTTTCTTCAGAATGGTGATTCCAGCTATCAAGAAGCCCTTAAACACCATGTTATTCATTCTAGTCTCAGTCATCATGTGGCCTCTCATTCCCACTATCCTTTGTGATTTTGCTTTCTACGTTTCCCTTTACTATTCTCCCTGTGGTAACTTCTACACCATCTTCTTCCAGTGACCCACCGATAGCCTATCAGGGGATTGTCATCTAATCTATGCAACTCTTGGTAGACAGCATGATGTTAACTTCAAGTCTAAGTCAAGAAATTATCGGAGTGTCCTACGCAAGAATGAATGTAACTGGCTCCCTCTTATGAACCACTGAGAATGCTTTTTTCTTGACCCAGAGACTCAATCAAGGATGATGCAGACACCTGTGTTGTTTTTAGCTACACCCATGCCTTGTGCAAATGCTAATCATTAACCTTGCAAAATCAATTTTGTTCTTAAGCTTTGCTCTTAGTCCTGAGGTATAAAATACATGTCTCAGACCAGTCCAAGCGAGGGGGTACTGCACATGTAGGAAGCCCCCAGTTATGGCGGAAATACTGTGCTGACATTTTCCAATTTGCTAGGTTCAGTAACTTTGTGCAGTAGCTAAGAAACCCTCCCTGCTGTTACCAAGGATTTCAGAAGAGTGTAGAGTTCTTATGGATTGATTTGATTTGTACAGAGACCATGTGTTACTGCTTTCTTGTTACAATGATACAGATTGCTTCATAGCTAGGTTTCTTTTACATTTTATGAGCACTTGATATTTTGTTTCATAGAGTACTACCTTTCCAAAGTGCAGTGTGTGATCCATATCTAGCAACACCAACCCAACACAGTCCCGCATGGGCTTGTTTCAAGTCTTGATATGGGATTTTAAAGGTTCTAGGCAAATAACCATTGGGATTGCTTACATATTGCCATCTCTGGTGTCAATAGTAATCCTGCATGTACTGTCTCTTTTAAACACAGTAGGCCTAGTTTTCTGTCATGTGGTGTTGCATGTGATGTTAGAGAGTATTTAGTTTTTTCTGTTGTGTCAAATGTGAAATCAGTTTTTGATATGACTTGTGTTTATTGTTTTTTTTTGTCAGATTTTTAAAGCATATCGTTTATGTTTGTTACATTACCAAAGATACTGTTGATTTTCATGTTGAACTTTTTAGGGTGCATTCGGTTACATGAGTAGGATGCATGCGCATTACACTCAGGTGCAGGAGAATATCTCCCTCTAGTGAGAGTATACTCTCACTGACCCATGGGTCATGCTCCAGCCATTCGAGCGCTCAGAAGTATACTCATGTTAACATGAGTATCTCGCTCAAACGCACCCAATACTTAATAGCAAAATGCAACCAACATTACCAGTACCAACAACAGACTGTAACGAAGTGTTTTTAACCAAGAGGAGGTGTTAGCATGACAAGAGACAGCAGCTCTTTGAGGTATTGATTATGTTTAGGAATTACAACCAAGTGGCAAATATTTTCGAAATACTTCAGCTGGATACAGATTGGTTGAAACATTCTGAATGGTTTAATATTTATTATTAGAATGTGGCAATAACATGAACATTGTGACTTGTGAAATTTTGGCATGACAAACTCCAGTGGCTGCAGAAATGTCATCGTTTCTAGGCATTATTCAGAATTGCAGATTTGATGAGAAGTTTAATGTTTTAAATAACCTAAATGAACAGTGATTGATTTTATTTGATAGGAAAGGCAAAAGATTTCAGGAAAACAGATCACGCCTTTGGTACTGAGTACTGCTGAAAAGTGATAGTTAATTCAAAGTTTTCTGTATAGATTATTTAAATGTAGATGTATTTTGAATCTCTGCTATGGGTCAATTGTTTACTTTTAATTTGTAAATAAACAGAAAGCTTTATATTGCATTGAGAGGGATTTTTTTGTCTTATCATTTCATTCATGCTGGATTCTTATCCCTCATTCACAACTTCATCTTCAGTGATAGATCAAGAGACAAATAGTTGGGTTACGTTAACTAGAGATAAAGGTCATTCAGTATATGTACAGTAGAGTAAGGTAGGCATAGTGGTTCTTTCCTCGCCTTCCACCTCAGTGGTACGGGTTCGATTCCCAGCTTGGTCCACATGTGGATTGAAGTTTTAGTTCCTACCTGATTCCGTTGGTTTACCTATCCCAGAATACTCTCCTGGGGTTTCCCTCCCACCTCTAAAACTGTAACTGCTTCTCATTGTCTCCTCTCTACAGATGTGGGCCGTTTGGCAGGCACCTGAGGTGCCCTTGTAAGCCTTCGGCCCACGTTATAAATCTGAGGGCCTCCATGGAAAATAGTGCTGGGCACTGATCTTAATGATCACATTAAAGATAAAAGTATGTGCATACAATTATGACCAATTTTAGATGGAATAAAGTCTCCCACTTTTTAGGTTCTCCCTTAGAACTAGCCGAATATGTTTCACCCCAACTAGTTGTCTCCACCATCATTGGGATGGTCCCATAGCGCTGCAGTTGGGTGGTCCAACTATGATACACTGTGCAACAGTATGTGACACATGCTAACAGAACATAGTGTTTTTTATTTGTCATGGATGAAATGCCGGGTTGGCATACTTTTGAGTGAACTCTGTGAGGAGTCGCCTGCAAAAGTGTGAGAAATGTGCCATAAAAGTTCGCAGACTACAGTTGATCTTTGCTCGTCAAGCCTGAAAGCAGCACTCTACACTTAGATGAGACTGATGCTAGAGTAGGGACATGGCAGGTATTGATTGGACTACATGATCATTGCTTAGCCTCTCCTTCTACAAGCAGGAATGTGCGATGTTGTCATAATAACGTCACTGTGAAAAATCAACACCTTTTGACAGTTTTCCTTGACAACTGCTATCACAGTACAAGGAGTGGATCACAATGCTTGCGGGGGGGGGGGAATCCTAAGTGAGCAGCTATGATGCACACATTATGATTTCATGAGAACTATCACAGCACTGATGTCTGACAGAGATGAACACATGGCATACACTTCAGAACTGAGGCACGGAACAGCACAAACAATTGATTTCCTAGCATGATCATGATTTATTCCTTGATCGTAGCTGGAATGAATGTCTACACTTCATAAAAATGTTCTGGTTGGGATCATGGACTAAAATTAAGAACACATTGCACTCTTGTAGAATATTTCAAATTGTGCATTCTTTAAAACCTGACAGTCTCAAAAATTCCTGGAATTACAAAATTCATCTGAATAAATATACAAATGAATCCTTCCTATACTTTCAACATTTGATTGAAATAAAGATGATTGTGCAGGTTTTTAAGAAGCTAAAAATTGGCTCTTTTAATATGTACACTATAGAATGGCACTACAGATCAAAATATACTGAATGAGTGGTACAATTGAGGACATTATTAAGGCAAGAATACAAGCAAGCAAACCTGTCAAAAATGCCTACACATAATTGCAATGTACACAAATTAGTGAACTTTTCTACTCAGTATACATTTTGCAGCATTGACATTTAATGCTAAAATACACACACCTTGAAGATTGCAACTTTACCATCACTTTACTGTCAGTCACATGGCTTCATTACTCAACAGTCAGGAGAATATTTAAACTATTAAAGCAGGGTTCAGTCTTCAATGTAATCTGTCACTTCCTCTACTTTTGTGCATCATTCTGGGAGCCAACAATGGTAGATTTGTTGGAAAGGATGAAGAGAATTTGAACATAACAGATCAGTTTTACATCAGGCATGTAATTGTTTCTCAAAAGCAGTAAAAAACAAATCCTCAGAAAGTAACCATATGAAAGTCACTTCTGGTGGTCCATCATGGGACAGGTGGATATTAGCACATCAAATAGTATTTGGGTAGAAATTGTGTGAAGGTGCTCCAATTGGTACAACATTCTTATTCCAAACACCAACTGTTAATACAGGAGAATGTTATTTACTATGCTCCTTGGAAATGGCTCATCCCGGGTGAGAGCATTCCACGTTTCCACTGATGTGGCAAAGGTGCTTACAAATGACAATGACAAACCAGACAATGTTTTTAAAAATCAAATGCATCAATAAGTAACTCTAGTTAAAAAGTTCATCTTTACAAGGCAGCACACCACAGCAGCAGAAATAAAGTTAAATAATTTATTAGTTTTGTCGACAGAGATTACCTTTCATTGCATCAACTTTGGCAGAGAGGACCTTTCCTACATTTCAAATACAGTAGCACACTTTAGGATGAGAGGCAAGCAGCCCTTTGTCAATGCTTGTCTTTGTGTTAGGCTTTGGCTCCTTCTTGACTCTGCACCCATACATGTACATGTTAGACTTAATTTTGTTTACATCAAATGTAAGACTGCCAACATCTTTAGCTCATTAAGTCTTTTTTTTTCATACAACCATGTTCACTTAGTTAACTCAGTAAATGAAAACTCAGGGATTGAGGAAGATAAGGAAATCAAATCAAGAATGGTAATGTCTTCACAGTCATTCAAGTTTGTGGTGTTTGGACATCTGAAGCTGTATCCATTTTCAGAATGATAAGTGACTATTTGGATTTATCTACCACTCCAGTTAACACGAATGTTGCCAGACCATTTTAATAAATGATGGTGGTGGGGGGGTCCATCAGCAAATTTCATGAGTATAATAGTAACCTTATTCCCCGACCTGATACATGACCCCTCCCCTTCCATCCCAATATTTACAGACAGCACCATGATTCTGCCGATAAAAGCTCACTAATGTGGAGAGGGGTGCTGTGAAACCCCACTTACACCCCTCTCACAACACCTCTTCCAGTCATGCACAAACCACTCAGTTATTTCAGCACCTGTTTTTGAGGGCCACCAACAGTAGCAACATCACATACGACTTCATATACAGATTTTATTACAGAATCTTAAAACTTCCCCCTTACTCGCTCATCATGTCAATATACACCTGAAACCAAGATGTTTAAATAAACCTGCACCAAAGATTTTCAATAATGGACTCCATTCACTCCTAGAACCAGAAGCTTTTTGAGTTTACTTCAATGGAATAAGAACTCATTTGTCACATGATCATGAGAACCAAATCAGGTGGCTTTATTGGACCTTGTTAAAAATGTTTTCAATAATGCCGGGTCAAAAGTTTACATCCATTTCCTCTGCACTGTGACCGTAAAGCAATAATGCTGGACTTTCTTGGTAGCATATCCACATCTTGATTGCTAAGGCTAAGGAGTGGGCAAAGGACTTCAGAAAATGAAAATAAACATTCCAACAAAGCAGACTCGAGTTGCTACGAACTAATGGAGTCCCTAAAATATTATGGAAATCGTTGGTGTAGTTGTATGTAACTCTTGGCTCCAACTCAACCATTCTCCTTTACAGAGACTTTCCTCAATGAACATGTATAAATGCAGGCTTCCTTTATCAATATTAGAAATAAGCACAGTATTCTCATAAACAAATTTTTTCCTCACAAAGCCAGGCTAAGCCGACATTTTGTGCTCTCTCCAAACCCGTATTCAGTATTTGTTTGACTATGAATGGCCTATTTCATACACACACATATCTGACACATATTGCCCAGGGATCCTAGACTTCAATGGCAATTTAATGAATCCATAGCTTTTTTCTACATAAAAAGATTAACACGAGAGAGATGATCACAAATTTCATTTTATGGCCTTAGTAATTTGAAACCACTTTCAAAATTTTCGAAACCAAGATATATTTCAACCAAGCATTATTTTCTTTCCATATTTTTCTTTGGTCTACAAACATGCCCAATGGCAATGAATAGAAACGTTACCACATGAACAATGAAGAATGTCGAGGCCCAGTAGCGCATCGTTGACCAGAAGCCTAGCAGTAGGAACCCCATAGCAAGGTACTCAAACGCTCGCATGCGGAAAAACCAATTGAACTTGTCATACCATGGAGCGTTGGCTTCCGTACGGAAAGATCGCATCATTGAGTCCTCGGCGATTAAGATGATGGGTACCGTGAGGAAACTAAGGAAGTAGCCAGGATGAATGCCATGCCAGTAAGAACTGACCAGCATGGTGATGGAAGTGCTGGGATAGAGACCAAGTAAAAAAGGAGTTTGTGATGTTGGCAATTGAATCGGATTTTGTCAAGTATTAACCTGCTTGATTTGTATCTTACTTGATCCGCTGCTTAAGTCTTTAACGTGAATTTTATCCAACACATCTTGCCCAATAAGAAAAACCAGCGATAACAGCGCTTTAATGGGTAACCATGAACACACGTACTGGAGGCTGGATTACCAGCTTGCTAGATTGAGGCATGAAACACCTCCTCTGGTCATGCCTGAAAGTGATGTCCATTAAATGGGATTTTAAACCACAGTGTATGTCCCGTGTACTGGCCTAGTACTAGTTAACAAACTCAGGACACCTACCATGGAAGAGTGTTGCTTATATTGTTTCTATATATGATCACAAAACTATGCAGAAACCCATTACTTTGCAGCCAAAGGAAAAAATGCTCTAGGAAAATAAATATTGCATAATTCAGGTAGTGCTTCCACATGTACATTCATAAAAACCCACCAGCAATCGCAAAATATGGCTACAAATTATGAAATACCTGATCAGTTATTGACACTGAATTTTCTTTCATACTTTCCAGGATTAAAACTTGTATTTTGTTGTTTTTCTTGCCTATTTGTTTGATTTTTTAAAAATTTTACCTCCAAGCTTTGACAGGAAACCGGAAGAAAACATAGTTCTTCAACCACCACTGTACTGACATATTCCAGTTACGCATTCCATCACGGAAGGTTGTAGTGAAGTCACACTGATACCAGTCTATGTTGTGAATTGTCTCATAGCTGTACTCGGTTGGCTTATCTGAACTGAGTAGGCAAAAATGGAGTGAATTTGTGTTTGAAGGTTCATTGGAATTAACATCATGGGAGGTTGGCAAACTGACCTGCTAGCTTAGAAACAGGACACTGATTGAGCAACGTTTGTGTACATGTATAAACAATACACATTACTTGTACATTAGGTTCAGTTAGCACACGTGTTTGAAGCCATGGATGTACAACAATCAAATCCCAGGGCAATTGGTTTTGCTTTGCTCACTTTCAAAATGCAGAATTTGTGAGGTATTTTTCAGTGATTAATTTAATATACCAGAAACATCAGATCATCTCCACATCTCTCGATCTCATTTCTGGGAAACTGTGCAATACACTGTGTTTTTGCCACTTCACAATTGCTCAGCCCCAAGCCTGAAGCCCCAAGCCTGAAGCCCCAAGCCAGAAGGCCCAAGAAGCCGACTCTAAATATGGACATTTCAATCATTCATTCAAATAGCTTGCTGAGCTACATGTACCTGATGACTTCCAAATGTCCAACCTCAAAAGAAAGCATCTAATCTCACTCTTTAGTCAATGATGCATCTCTGCTAACAAGTGCCTTGACACAATCATTTCTCATGTCTTCATCTTTCTTACCTGTCAACTCCAGCAGGGTCTACACTTGGGCCTAGTCCAACTTTTGGTTTGAAAGACACTGGATATGCTCCTAACGTTGCTGACATACAGACACATTCAGAGAGGATCCAGGCTGAATACATACGCAGACGGAAAAGCATGAACATTGGGACCATGTACAGAGTCCTGAAATGAAGAAAAAGGACACATTGGTGTGAGCTTTACAGAATTGGGGTGAGCTTTACAGAATTGGTGTGAGCTTTACAGAGGTATCTGCACAAAAGTACACAGTTTGGGCTGACCTGTCTCTGAAAAATATATGCCACATGGGAACGGTAAGTCCAATTTTCACAAATTGGTGTCAAAATGAAGGCTCAGCAAGTGAAAAAATAAACTCCAATTAAATCTAGGGTTAATATATCAAGATATCTGTGTGTAAGCCTAAATGTAGGACGACATACATATACAGGTCTGTATAACCATATGTGTAAGAGTGGGGAGTTATGACAGGTCTGATATCAAGGCTCCAGTCACAGTGGGAATGGATTTATTTTTTCCTAGTAACTGCGTCTTGTTTTGACTTTGCAGATTTGCTGTACTTTTAGCCACGTTCATGGATTCTGGCACAAACATGCACTCAATTACATGTACATGTATTTAAGCCAAGGGTCACAGAGAAAACTTCAACTTTCCTCACCTATACCAATAGCCATGGGTGTAAAACTCATCGGATCTGACGTAATCAATGGATAGGTAATGTGACATGATTAGGAACATCAAGCCAATGGGTACCAGTGTCTTCAAGCGTTGTACCAACGGGTCTATACTTGGTATGTCCTTGGAATTCTTGCATTGTATCATGTCACAGTATGTCTTGTACTTGTAGTAGGGGCCTGTGGGTAATGAATGAGATATTGTTCTCAACACAAGAACCAAAATGATGTCAACGGTCCCTTCTGTTAACAGAGGAAATTAGTGACAATGTAAAAACACTGCAATAAATGAAGCCAGGACACTTTGAACAGAATGTGGACTCGGTTTGTGATAACACACCAGTGACTTCAAAACTCTACAAAATCTAGCTGGATGCAACTTTTCCATTAAGCTCAAGTGGATAACAGAAAATCACTGTTTGAATATCAAAATTTGCATAGAAATTTCTTTGAAAAACAAAGTACGTTATGCAGGAAAAAACAATGCTTTTCTGATAGAGGATCTTCAAAGAGGATTTTAAAGCTCAGCCTTAACTGCAAGTTGACTGCTTTTGCAGCTTGTAAGCCTAACATTAAAATAACTTAAGGGTAAATGAAATAGATTATTGAAGTGAATATGTTACATGCACAATTATGCACGCAAACCAACATGTGTATACTCCATTCATTTACACTATTCTTCCCGGTTCAAAAATGACGTCATATTTCGGTACTCCACAGAGAACTAGGGATCACACTTACCGGTGATGATCCCAATAAAGCAGAATGCATACTGGAAGACATCCATGATTCCTGGGTCTCCAACATCTGCTATGTATCTAGCTTTGGTAGAAGTGTCAACTTGTGAATTCGATGGAGATATCTTTGGTTTAGTCTTTACATCATGGGAATCGTGTACTTCAAAGGCAACACCAACTAGCTGCAGAGCGAAATTATAAGATTCAAGTAGATTTACATGTACATGTCACATCAATGCTACACGTACATCATGTTACATGTACATCAATCAATATATTCAAAGCCAGTGAAGAAGTCTGTCATGGTTCGTACAAGTACATGCAATATACCAGACCGTCACTTTGAGAGCAGAAAAACATTTAAACTTCAGTTTACCTTCAATGTTAGAAGAAGCTGCACTACATTGGAAAATGCTGTGGGTGCTGCCAAGCCAAAGAAATGACCCGCTCGGAAAAATGTCAAGTAGGAAAAACAGAAGGCAAAATTCCAGATGTGACACTTCCTACGATTCAAATCATTACAAAAATTCAGTATTTAGACCAACCAAATTAATCAGATCTATGAAAATTAGGCAATGGATATTTTGCTGCTGCTGGCAAATTTCAACTAAACAATATTTTCCCTGGCACATACATGTACACAGCAGCTGTTTTGCTGGTCTTGGAAATTCTTAACCTGACAAATCTTAGTCTGGTTCTATTCCAACATAGTCATTGTGACTTTGTATTCATAAGGTAGGAAAAAAAAAATCCTCCAGAGCCGCAAATCAGATACAGAAATGTAATACTCTGTAATTAAACACTGGAGTCAGTTGAAAGAGTTCCATATAGATGTATGGACAATGCTTGATGCCCCTGTGCACAAACCCATGAGACTTGTCTATAAAAAGAGTTTGCTAAGTAAATGCTTCAATTTTCGTAGCTAAATTTCACTTTTTAAGACTTGTTATCACGTTTTGAAGGCTGTTGTGTTATTTTAAGGGGAAATGAGTGTTGTATGGAACTCTTTCCTAGTCAATTTAAAATAACATTAAAAGAACATTGATAATTTTGGGGATCAGGAAAACACAGAGCTCACTAGCTACATAAACGTAGATGAATGTAAGGATCAAACCCAGTTGGGAGCACTTCAAATAAACGGCAAGACAAATGTGCTATCCATTACACCACAGACTCCGCCTGCAATCTAGTGGTAATTTAATAACCTTTACAAATTACAGGCTTTCTTGTGTATATGCATCAAAGAGGGCACTGTCTTCTTGTAAAATGGCTAAATATAGTACCTTAAATTTGCCAGCGATGGCTAAATATCCACTGTGTAAAAAAATCAAATGCCATCCACGTGTATGTACAGGGCATGATAGGAGGTTTCAAATGACAAGTGTTTAAATTACATGTCTTAGGGAACACATTGATATGATCATATTCCTCCATGACATGATTGAGTGGAACTTGGATGCAATTTTGTTAAGTTGTTGGTTGTCATACAAATATCACAGTCTAATGGGAGTACATGTTTAATTCCATGTTTTCACTACATTTTAAATATTTCAGTTCAAGTAATATTTTCTTAACTGACCAGGAAATTCAAGCATGATCCCAGATACTGCATTATTTCCAGCGCTCGGTATTTCCTGGTCCATTCATAACCTAACAGAGATCGACTTGTGTTGAATTGGCAAAGGATCGTCCAACACAATGCAAACACTGAAACAGGTCACGACTTACTCAGGGTCAACGAACGCCACAATAACACCAGCAACCAAGGTGGTGAAAATGGAATGGTAGGCCTGCCATCCACACAACCCAACCACCATCGATACACCGACTAATGTACAGATCAATCGCTTTTCCTGAGGATTCCTGGCATGCTTTACGACATGTCCGAGTCCTAGGGATATCAGCAACATGCAGAGGTAGATGAATTCTGTCGGTGACATCGTCTGATGGCTGGGAAATGAGAATTTTTAGGGTAAAATTCGACAGTCGTCGCCGCAGTTCGTGGATATGGACGCCAGCAATAGACTGTAGAGGGCGGAATTGCAATTTAGCAGTATATATGTTAAAATAAGTGGGGAGAACCAGGCCAGGCACGGTCAAAATAATGTGCACACGTAAATGTAAGCACACAGGGTTATCAATAGAAACGGTCCGCTCTATTAAAAAAAATCCATAAATAAGTTTAATAGAAATTGGTGACAAACGACAGGATAAGCAGCAAACATGTGGAACAACTCTGCACGTTATGAAATGTGTTAATATACTTTATTTGAGGAATGTTGTGAAAAAGCAAAAGTCAAACCGATAGAGCAAAGAAAGTAACTTGACTGGTTTAGTCAGAAAACTCCAAAATTCATAGTGAAAATTTCTCAACAGATAATATCAAAACAATGTCAGAGTACAAACCTCACAAAATAATCCTGTTTTTACCCCCAAAACAGGTGTACTCTAATTTTTAAAAATCTGTCAAAAACAGAACATCCAATGATGTCTATTTTGAATCACCTTTTTACAAAGAAAAAGATGAACAAAAATTCTTTTAGCTACGTTTTGACAACTTATGAAAGCATGAGGTTATTCATAATTATCAAAATTAACTCTATAATTTAATTGTTCATTACAAAAAATATTTTACAATGAGGACTGTATTTAATTGGTAATCAAATCATGTGAATAAACACCATTATGTAAGAATAACAGTGATCTTTTGTCAAGTTCAATTCATATCCATAGACAAAAAAGACATTTCGAAAGGAATTCACAGTATGAAAGACAGAGAGAGAGAACATTACATCAACACAGTCGTGTTTTCCTGCAGTGGCTACTTAAACTATGGTTGTAGGCAAAATGAGAGTGGTCTATATACCTGTAGTTATTTAACAATGAACCAGGAGATGAATTTGAATGCCCTTATAAATGGAAACATTTTACTAGTGACTGACACTTTACCAGCTACTATGTCCAACTCCATATTGGTAGTGTCCCAACATCCATTCATTCCCCTGAAATTTCTTGGTTCAGTTATGCGCGTGCATGGTGCATTTATGGCAGTTACAGTACTTTGTAATCTGTAAAGTTATCAAATAGACATTCGATGAGGTATAGAGTGTGATGTTAGCGTGCAAAGATTTGGATAATCAGGACAAAATGAATAAATCAATAAAAATAAATTAATTGATTTTTAAAAAAATTGCAGTGTCAAATTTGTAATGCCGCATATATAGTTTGAAGAGGGGAAACAGCTAGCCTCAGGAAAAACTGCATGTCTGTTGATAATAGGACAGGTAACCTACACGCAGTACTGATAACTTTCAATGTTTCCTCTCACATCCATTAATCTTCAGTACTCAGTTGGAATTGAACTTAACTAGTTGAAATCTAACTACAGTCATTGCTATACTAAGGCTTACATGATGTATATTCTCAAGGGTTCCTGAAACTAAACTTTACAGTAGGTGGAAACTTACTTTCCAGGTGCAAAATTCCATGTTTAGAAAATGATTTAATTACTTCAACATGTATTAACAATGTCACCTGTTTTACATGTCTATATTCATATCAAAATCATGTCACTGAGACTTTTAACAGCCTCCACACTGAAAAGATATAAGATTCCACATTACAAAATTTATCTAAAATGCTTTATTCTCAAAAAATTATAGCACATTTATTCTACAACCCTCTTTTAGTCAATAATCCCTGAAAACATTTTTTTCCTGATTTCTTAGTTTACAATGTACATACCCAGAACTCATAAAATATATACAAAAAATGATGAGGATTATGCCCATGGGTCTGTCCAGGATTCTGTCCAGACTTCTGTCCAGACTTCTGTCCAGGATTCTGTCCAGACTTCTGTCCAGACTTCTGTCCAGGATTTGTCCAGGGTTCCCTGTCCAGGGTTCTGTCCACAATTCTATCCAGGGTTCTGTCCAGGATTCTGTCCAGACTTCTGTCCAGACTTCTGTCCAGGATTTGTCCAGGGTTCCCTGTCCAGGGTTCTGTCCACAATTCTATCCAGGGTACTGTCCAGGGTTCTGTCCATTAATCTGTCCAAGAACTCATTAGAAGCATTCTAATGCCAGATTAACTGCAGTAACATCACTCTGACATTCAATTCATACACGTTTTAAATGGCTCCTGACCAATATCAATTTTTGGAATGCAGGTCACGTGCTCCAGCATGATGCAACAGCAGTTAAGATGTTTCTTTAAACTCAGGCTGAACAGCTGCCTGAATGGAAGCCACGCATGGCAGGACAAAACACATACATGGTACATTGTACACTGATGACATGCATGTAACGAATGACACCAATTTTCGTTTGAATGTGCATAAGCTACGGCATATTTGTGCACTGGAGTACACTTGGGTATGTGCATGCAGTAGAATTGGCACAAAATTGTCCCCAGCACTTAATGGTTTACATCTTTACTATGACCTGGACAGTTAGTTTCTACACACAAACTCACAGTAAGGTCTATCTCCTGCGAGAATAGTGAGACTTTGTTTCCAAACTGATGCAATCTCACTCCACTTTTTTCTCAGTTCTCCTGGGCTTGAATACTATCGCCACTGCCAGAAAGAATCCGGTTAGTAAATGACCCAGGAAGTACGTGGATGCCCAATGACGCATTGTTTCCCAGAATCCCAGAAGCTGAAAACCCATGTGGACATATTGGAAGGTGTAACATTTCATGACCCAGCCCACTTTGTCATACCAGAAGATGGCATCACCATGACGGAAGACACGCATCCGATCCTCGGCGATAAGGATCATGGGAGTAGTCAGGAAACAGAGGAAGTAGCCTGGGTGGATACCATGCCAGTAACCACTAACGAGGAATGTGACCAACGTACTGGATGGCAAACAAAAGAAAGAAAGCAGTGTGGTCAAAGACACTGTGCTCAATGTTGTCTTCTTAGTACTATCTTGTTTACTTAACTAATTTATAGAGATCCATGTGGCCTAGAGGTTAAAGTATGGAGCTTCGATCTGATCATAGGATCAGGGGTTCAAATCCAGCAGCTGGTCGCATGTTGTGTCCTTAGGCAAGTCACTTTACTCCCACCTGCCTTTCTTCACCCAAGAGTATAAGTATACCTGTCAGTGTTGTAGTCGAGACCACTTAAGACCAGCACAAGACCAAAAAAGACCTCCAATCTGAATTCAAGTCACAAGCTATTCCAATGAACTGCAACAAAAGCATTCCTTTGTCATTATTCACCCTATTACTAGTGAATGGTCTTGTGTCTGGTCTTGTGTCTGGTCTTGTGTCTGGTCTTGTGTCTGGTCTTGTGACTGGTCTTGTGTCCGGTCTTGTGTCTGGTCTTGTGTCTGGTCTTGTGTCTGGTCTTGTGACTGGTCTTGTGTCCGGTCTTGTGTCTGGTCTTATGTCAGGTCTTGTGTCTGGTTTTGTAATGGTCTTGACTACTCGTACCTTTGAGGACCGAGATGCTCGTCGTATTTGATTAGCACCTAACATAGCACCACTTTCCAATTTAACAACAGTGTAAACCACTTGTTAACGTTTTTCCACAACAAACATGCTGCAGAGGTAGTAATCTTTTTGCTGAAAATACGGGGGGTTTTCAAAGACAAGACATCCCAACCACAATCCTTTACTATCTTCCCGTTTTTGAAAGTCTGAAACAATGCTGCGGAGTGATATTTTATACGACGCCCAGCCATGGCCCACGGCCGCTTGATTGCTCTACATATGCTCAACCTTAATGGACTGGATGTGTGTGTACAAACTCAACGGGAGTGTTAAGAACTCAATGGGAATCCTCTAGAACAGGTAGAGACTACTACTCAATACGGCATACGGAATTGACTAGAAATCCCTGTACGCCATGCACACAGCATGCAGTGGTCTAAGAATGGGTGGGCGATATTGTCCTACTCTGAATGACACCTGTTCTTTTGTCAGACGGACATTATGCCAACAAATGTCAATCGCTCTTACCTCCAGGATCTGTGCGGAAATCGAACATACACATAGTTCTTCAACCACCACTGGACAGTCATGTTCCAGTATCGCATGGCACTACGGAAGTCTGTGGTACTCTCGCAGTGGTACCAGTCTATGTTCTGTATAGTGGTGTAGTTATATTTGACTAGTTCAGAATTCGATCTGCAAAAAGATTGGAAAAAAATGGTACAGGAACTAAGCTACAAACCATTTTCTTAGCCTTGTACCGAGTTAGAATTTGACAAATGCACACAATCAATTCTTTTATCACGATTTTTATCACTTAGAATTTAAAAAACAATACTCATAAATACCTCAGACAGTCTCCTTATTCAACAACATGCAACTTGACCATGTACTAAGATATACATATGGACTGGCAATGAGGTTACTAGTGCATGTCTATGTCCCCGAGGGACTGACAGTGGCCAGAAGAGGGTTCTATTTCCCTCAGATTTTGGCCTCAGGAAATAGGACTCTCTTCTGGTTACTCACAGGCCCAAGGGGGCAAGGGCGTGCACTAGTGACTGAATTTGGCCAGTCCATAGGTGTTTTATAACATACCTCAAACTAGAAAAATATGTTTTCAGGGTTTGAACTTTCAATGGCACTTCAAAAATTGCATAAAAAAACTTGAAAGTTCGTTTTAGTTTTCATAGACACAGTCTAATTTTGAGTTGCTATACTCAACAATGAAGAGAATTCTTCCGAGGTTTAACTGTTTAAATTCAATTTTTTACTCAATTTTTTTTGTTTTAAATGAGCCATAGCAACCTCCAGAGGGCCCAATAACCAGTCAAGAATTTTCAAGACTAGTACCTGACTGGGCACTAGTCTCTGGAATTGAAGCCCACGCAATGTCTAGGCGTGTGTCGAGTCATGCTGATGCCAAATTCATGTACTACAGTACTAACTCATATTAGTGAACCACATATTACCGTATTTCAGCCAACCAGGATAAAGAGCCATAAAGAGGTGTGTTATAACATTTGATAATGCCCGCTGAGCAGTGATAATACACGTATACAGTAAACTCCAGCTAAATCAGCACTCTAGGGACTCAAGAAATAATGACGACTAAAGCGAAAGCCGACTTGTGCTGTAAGTCGTCATTTTGCCAACTTATACGTACACATGTATTGCCTATGTACATTATGATTCCTTGCACTAATTCAATGGCTTTGATATACCCTGGTTTATTTCTACCTCCATGGTCGATTCCACCAAATTCGTTCTTGACTATTATACTCAGGGCTGCAAATTCGATAGTTGATCATATTCTCCTAAGGACGAAGCAAGGACGGCAAGCCACTTGCACATCACGACTCAACAGTACAGTACGTATGTACGTGATACAGTTATGGTACAGAAAACATACACTCATCCACTCACGCGCATTGCTTAAGTTCATTCAATATAGTCTGGATACCAGACCCGCTGATTGTGACTTCCCGACCAATCATTATCAAGGGTTGTCTGGCAATCTTTGGGCAGGGAACCAGACTACGTTCAACAAGGCGACCCCCAAAATGGACAGAGCGCATGCATGTAGCACTAGAGGGGTTACTGGTATTGATGTACTCATGCTGGCCGCACACAGGACTTGTCACTTGACACTTCTTGGCAACCACGGTGAAGGAAACTGATACTGAAGCACGATTTTTTTTAAAATGCCGAACTGCACAAAAGAATTTTTGTGGAAAAGGGACCAAGAAAAACATGCTGACATATACAAAATGACAACTTATAAATGCCGACTTAGAAATGAAATTTTCAATGGAAATGCATCACAGACGATCAGGACTTTTATCAAACGGCCGACTTGGATGATATGATGGGTTACACGATGCCGACGTAGTCAGAGTTTACTGTATGCCTGCTGTATATCACGTGCTGGCACCTGGATACAAGACAGTTTAATCGATTGTGATTGGTCAAGAGTCTGTGTGCACGCGGTTCGCCAAGCGCACACCAAGTCTATATAAGGAGATTCTTGTGGACAACTTGCACAAGGAATACACCATAAAATGGATGGGGTGTTCGGGAAAATGAAAGTGAAATTCTAGAACAAAATCATCAGAAGTCCATCATACACACTACTTTTGACTCTCTGACTAAAAAGGTATTTATGAATGGGAATAAATGTGTGCTTGGCAATTTACGTTTAAGATCGGCTCCGGAGACTGAATGTTAATAATGCCCTTTGCCTGTAGCTTGGGCATTAGTCGGGTCCATTCTCCTGAGTCGGTCTTAAACGCACATTTAACACTAGCCAAACACATATTTATTCCCTTCTTAACAACCACATTGTACATGTATGCTGATTGGTTGACTGCATTTCATTAGCTCTAAAAGCAAAAAATGCACGCCCATGTGGTGTGCCCTCATTGTATCCACGCAGTGCTTCAAGTCACTACCAACACAACACAGTGACCAATGCTGATATCAACAAGGTCTATGCACTCCTGTGAGCAAAATGACTTCCTGATGGACACATAGGTACCACAACACACCCATTGAGTACACAACGTAAGTTAGACACATTTAACTTAATGAATACAGCTAAAACATTCTGGTGTCGCGCTTTGTTCCAATGGAAGCTTGATGGATTGTATCCCACCTTTGTAAACAAAGTGTGATTTTATTTCCCCTGACAGCACACATTTTGACAGCCTAATAAATTTAAAGTTGGGGGGGACTGCTTACGTTTCATTCTCAACAGGTTGAACACTAGGCCCCAGTCCGACCTTTGGTTTGGTAGACACAGGATAGCTCCTAACGTTGCCGAGATGCAAACACATTCTGCCAACAGCCATGCAGCATACATACGCAGACGATATGCAGTGACCAACACAACAGTAAAATAGATCCTAAAAGAACGAGATTGTAGGAGGAAGGCAGAATTATGTATTGGAATCCATTTCCATTTACAAAGTGCAAGCCTTAAGACCCCTTTACACCTGTGCTGAATGCGAACACAAAGTAGATTTGACTAACATGAGTATCTTAATTTTCTTAGAATTGGAACATATTCAATTGTTGTGAATTCTCCACACAAATATTTGATCTGACATTGAAATGTTGTGTTAGCTGTCACTCCAAGTATGAAAAAGACTTTAAACAGGACTCCCAAACTGATTCTTACTGGCTCAAAGCATTGACTGTTCCTGGTCCAAGGGAAATTATCCTTTTGGAACAATGTGCACTCCTGTGGAATGCACACACTTGTACCAATATTTCAAGGTGCAAAAATATTGTGGAACTGTAAAAAACCAGAAATTGGTTCACATTTGGCTTAGAATAAAAATACATTCCATCATGCAGAACCACACACAGCAGGAGATGTGCCCCGTGTGCTCTGTCCTAGATCAGCTTTCCAAATTTGCCAAGTACCAAGGGACTCTTTGAGTTTACCAAGTACCAAC